CAATTTCACAGGGGGGTCCCTATGGGGCATCCTCACATATAAGTTATTTCTTATTTATTGGAAGAAGGGCTGGGGGAAGGGCTGTTGGGGGGGAACCCTGGGAGCCCTGGCTCCCCCCACAGCCCCTCACAGCTAGGAGGAGGAGGAGGAGGAGGCGCTGAGCAAAGTCATGTGTCAATCCAAGTGCCTTCATGATGCCCAGCCAGCACTGGGATGGGAGGGCTTGGCCAGCCCCCACGGATAACACTGGGCGGAGCTCAGGGTCTCCATCCCCACCCCAAGGGTCCTGTCCCCACCCTGAAAGTCCCATCCCCACTCTGAGGGTCCCTGTCCCCACCCCCAGCGTCCCTGTCCCCACCCCAGGGCACCGATCCCCACCCTGAGGGTCCCTGTCTGCAACACAGGAGTCCCACCCCTACCCTGTGGGTTTCTGTCTCCACTCCGAGGGTCCCTGTCCCCACCCCAGGGATCCATGTCCCCACCCTGGGGATGTCCCGTCCCCTCCCTGGGAGTCCCTGTCCCCACCCTGGGAGATCCCCATCCTCACCCCAGGGGTGCCATCCCCATCCCTGGAGGTTTCTGTCCCCACCCCAGGGGTCCCTGTCCCCATCTTTGGGGGTCCCATCCCCACCATGGAGGTCCCTGTGCCCGCCCTGGGAGTCCCTACCCCGGGAATCCCACTGCAGCAGTCAGATCAGTGCCTTCACCCAGACCCCACCTCACACCACCAGTGCCTCCGGGGTGTGCCCCCACTCCCAGTTTGCCCATTAGGTACTTGCTGGGTCCGTCCCCACCCCGGGGGTCTCTGTTTCCCTCGGGGGCAGTGGGGCTGGCACCCAGGTCCCCCCGTGGGTGCTCAGCCCCCAACCTCACCAAGTGCCCTTCCAGGGGGGTCCCTAGGGTGGGGGTCCCCCAGCCATGCCTTCCCCACTGGGGTGACCCCTCCAGACTCTCCCTGTCCCCAGGGGGCTGGTGGGCAATGCCACCCCCATCCCCTCCCTCCCCTCACTCCGGCTGAGATGAAGGATGGGCCGGCCCCCCCAGCAGCCCCCCAAAATCCCCTGACTGTTTGTTACTGGGGTGTTCGGTGTGAACTTCCCCCTACTAAACCCCTGTCTTGTTGTGCCCTGTGTTTGGTGGTTTTTGGTAAATCTGGACTGGTTTTTGTTACATTTCATGCAATGGGTGTGGTGGAGCTCTCCGCATGGCAAGGGCGAGTCTGGGAAGGGGGGCAGGATTGAGGAACTGGGTCCCAGTGTGATCTGGGCCCCCCAAGCTGGCTGTACTGGTCCCAGCACAGTCAGGGATGCTCCAGGCTGGCCATACTGGTCCCAGGATAATAGGGACCTTCCAGACTGGCTGTACTGGTCCCTGCAAGGTGGGGACCAAGTCCCTTCTCCCCTTCTTGCCCACCTTGGGTACCCCAGACTGCCTGCCCAACTCCCTGGTGTGCTCCTTGCCACCATCCCAGTGCCCCTAGGACCTTCCCCATCACCACCCCCAAAGGGCCCCAAGAAGCCAGAGGGGCTGTGTGGGGCATTCCTCCTTACCCCACTTCAGGGGCTTCCCATATGGTGCTCCCCCAGCTCCCTACAGTTCCTTGAGGTCTTTGGGAGGGGGGCACCCAAAATAATCCCTAAGGTGGTGGGGGTCTGTGGCATCACCTAGGGGGCTATGGGAGGTTTTGGATAGCTCAGGGGTGGGGGCCATGCAGCCCCCCACCCCTGTAGCCCTTGTGGGGGGCGCAGCGAGGGCTGGGGGCCAGCAGCAGCATCAATAAATTAAGTTTTATTTGGATTGGTGGCATTTGCAAACATGGGCAATAAATTACAGAATGGTTAAAAAAAAACGAAAGAAAAGTGGGGACCTCACCTCGGAGGCACTGG